GAGTACTTTTCCTGTGTCAGGATACAACACCAAATCAGCAGGGCTGTTCTTATCATAGCCTACAAAAATACCCTTTTCAGATCTTGAATCCAACTTGTTCTTGTTTTGCTTGTAAGCATAGCATGGTGACCCAAATGTTCTCATTTTTGAAAGGTTAGGCTTCTTTCCTGTCAACATGTAGTATGGAGTCTGTCCTACACGTTTGTTGTAACACCTATTTCGAATGACAGCAGCAGTCATAACTGCATGTGTCCACAACTCTTTTGGTAGGTTACTTTCAATTAGCATGCATGCATAGTGTTACAACTTAGATGCAAATAGCATCCAAGTTGCTTGCAGCTATGGTGATCTGATGATTGTAATTGGTGTGATTTTATTTTTTCCCTTCTGTACAACCCCACACTAGATATTCCTCAAATGAAGGAGGACATTGCCTCGCTTGCTGGAAGAGTAAGTTTCTCTTATTTGTATCACAAAGTTTATTTGACTTGTTACTTAATCAGAGGAGGAGATGTTTATGATGTTGGGCTGATTAGGGCAATTCACCTGCTGTTTGTATTTTTAATTGTTCAAAAATTATAACAGACTGTCTTCCTTCTCTAACAAGTGTGCAGCAACCTCTGTGGAGGTCTTAGGGGAGACATCTGCAAAACAATTGCAGGTGAGTAACATTTTTCTTGTTCTAAGGATGCATATGTTATGGTGCGACTCTGTCGGAGGCAATAGTCTACAAATGTGTGTTTGTCCAGGGCTAATCTCATCAGTGCCAAATTGTTCATTGCCAACAGGCCAAGAACCTCCGCTTTCACATGTGTATTATATCATAATGGAAATCAAATCAATGGACAAAAACCTTGGACAAATTAGTCATATAGAAAGCTAACTACAAAATAATTTCATCCCCCTTTAATTCATCTTGCTTCTCTTGTAAAAAGCCTCAAAATACTGTGGCAGCTGCAGAGCCTCAGAAGAAGCAGCCTGGTGATGCAACCCTGTCTCCTAAAAATTACGTTCCCACAGAACTAAACTGCATTCTGAATTACGTTTAGCTTGAAACGTATTTACTCCCACGTTACGTTCGTTATGAACGTATCTAAAATACGTTTATTTTCTACATATCTTCTAGAAACATATTTTCTCCCACGTTACGTTCCTTATGAACGTATATTAAATACGTTTATTTTCTACATATCTTTGCCATTTATTGTCTTGCTTATAATAATGATAATAGTCATTTATAAATATCATTTTAGAGCACACCTTTGAAATCGAGAATCAGGCTCGATATATGGTTAAATTAAAATCAGTAGGCGAGGCTGTAATTTCGCCAGCTGTTACTCTCATGAGCGAGGCAGAAAATAATAGTTTTAACATGACAAAAAGCTGCTGTGTCGTTTACCTCAAACATTAAAACAAATCCAGAGTTACGTGTTTCTGTACTTCCTCTAAGAAGAAAAGACAGTAAAAGAAGAGCTCTGTGGCTTCAGGCTTGATCGCCGTTCAAATGACAGCGTTGGTTTCCCCAAAAGTGGGCGGAGCTGTAAAGTGACGTAGATTTTACTATCATCTATTATTCAAAACCATTCTATGTATTCTAACGTAAATTACATGCCAGTGTTTTATCTTTTTATTTATTTGTTTTTATTCTAAATCGTATTAACGTCTGTCAGGAAAATAAATGGGGTTTAGAGCCTCAAAATACTGAAATCTGTATTTTTTAAAATCTTTTCCTTCTAATTTGTTATTCTTTTCTAAATAACACAGTTATTTACTCAACAATAACACACAATTATCCTTGTTTTTATTTATTTGTTTAATTCTATAATCTTGGGCTTTTTAGCCGTAAATAAAGTCACCAGAAACAGACGGGACATTTCGAGATTTAGGATGGCCGAAGACACTACATTACCCATAATCCCCAGCTATCGTTTGGGACTACAGTCCCGTTGACAAACCCCGTGATGTTGGAGTGGTAGTGCGCCAAGGTTACGCCGAGCGTCAAGCTCTTTGAAATGGAACGAAACCACGGCAGACTATTCAAAACTGGACTCGAACGCCCCCCGAGAAATACACATGCTGGCTATTGTGTTTCGCAACATGTTCTCTATGGCACGTATCTACTGGGAATTGTAGTTTTAAAAGACGTTTTTCCCAAAATTAGAAGTTGCCAGTATTAAACTGTGTACAGCCCTGGAGGTTTAGGCGATAGGAAACACATTGGTGTGTACACATTTAAAACATGTAATTACTAAATGGGTAAAAATCGCTTATATCCATAATGGGCAGCATTAATATATACCCACATGACAGCTCATTGTTACTTTGTAATTCTACTCCACTACAATTCAGAGGTTAACCTGGTATTTTTACTCCACTACATTTAGTTTAGTTACTTTGCAGATTCTGATTAATGATGTGAAATATAAACAACCCTTAAAGCAGACTTTAGTTACACCGGAGTAAAATTCAGGGAAGGTGATTGTCAAGTGCCAACAATCAGGAGAGATATTTGATAGGTGGTGCTTGAGAAGACGAAACATTTATCTGCAGATCTCTATAAAGTATATTCATTACTCGTTATTCTCTACTAATAGTTAATTAAAAACTGTATAATGGCTATTTTGCACATCCCTTTCAAGATTTCCTAAGGTTTATTGATCATATACACAACTTGGGTCGCAGGTTCCTCAACAGCGCATTACAAGACATCTATCAATATGTGTGTACCTCCACCATTAAACTGTCATATTCTGCACATTTCTTATTCTATCTACATACATAAGAGTATAATTAATGTGTATAATATCAGTTAAAATAAGTGCTTCAACATAGTTAACATTGCAGGAAAGCAATATATTAGACGTTAAGTACTTTGTCAGGCTTAATATTCATCGGTAGATAGATACCCCCAAAGCTTTTTTCTTGTTTAAAATAAGACCTTAACCTAAAGTATTCTTTAATGTGTTAATAAAGGTTAATTCGTTTGTCTGTTTTGCACATCCTCCTATTAATATCTTTGTACATCCGGCACTAAACTGTTTTATTGTAGAGATCACTTATAGTATCTTCTTGACTTTTTATATTCTATATTTCTATCATTGACCTTCTACTTTCCCCCTATGAAAGTATGTACTCTTAATATTGTTTTCATCAAATAACATTATTCAACAAAAATAATTCAATAACGTGCTTTAACCACTAGGCGGTGCACACAAGGTACACACAGCATACTAATAATAACTTTGTATTATTAGTGTAGGACACTTATGTATGTATAACATCTGAAGATGTGTAGTTTTATTCATGTTTTTACATAATTTTACAGGATATTGCTATATTATTTCACATGTTTTACTTCTACACATTAATATCTGATTTGTAAAACATCACAGACAGAAAGGTATATCCGTCATTTAATGGTACGCTATTGAAATTCTGAATCCATAGATGTGTCTCCCATCACCCAAATCCCTTGACTATTCTCTCAACTCAGTATTTACATTCTTATATTCAAAGAAAATCAGTAATATCTTTAAAAAACTACAAGTCCTTTTCTATCAGCTGTGCACCGTTATGGTGTAAATATAACCTATTATCTACCAATTGGATCAAATATAAAAGTCAGCCGAATTACTATTGATACTGCAAGGAGACGTATTTTGTGAAAAGAAATTGAAGATGTTGTTTAATTGTTGATATATTTATGATCCACATCAAGTATTCAGTTTTGGCGGCAGTTCCTCATGTTTGTCTAGAAGTCTTCTCATCAGGGCTCTATAAATAAAGAACTACGGCAGATGTATAATATTTAATGCAGCCGAACCGTGTATTACAATGCCGTTATGTGATGACTTCCAAAGAGAAAAGCAAGAACACTCTGAATTAGGTATTATTTTATTTTTCGTTTTCGGATATCACAACTTATTAACACCATAGCCCAGCGTTTATTGCGGCTAAAACATCCAATCAACGAGCTTCAAGCTGAGGATCTTGGGTAATCAGTTCGGTGGGTTTGTGGTGTGTATCGCTCGAAATGTCCCGTCTGTTTCCGGTGACTTTATTTACGGCTAAAAAGCCCAAGATTATAGAATTAAACGAATAAATAAAAACAAGGATAATTGTGTGTTATGGTTGAGTAAATAACAGTGTGTTATTTAGAAAAGAATAACAAATTAGAAGGAAAAGATTTTAAAAAATACAGATTTCAGTATTTTGAGGCTCTAAACCCCATTTATTTTCCTGACAGACGGGAAAAAAGTCCGACATTATACGATTTAAAATAAAAACAAATAAAAAGATAAAACACTGGCATGTAATTTACGTTAGAATAAATAGAATAGTTTTGAATAATAGATGATAGTAAAACGTCACTTTACAGCCCCGCCCACTTTTGGGGAAACCAACGCTGTCATTTGAACGGCGATCAAGCCTGAAGCCACAGAGCTCTTCTTTTACTGTCCTTTCTTCTTAGAGGAAGTACAGAAACAAGTAACTCTGGATTTGTTTTAATCTTTGAGGTGCAATAAACGACACAGCAGCTTTTTGTCATGTTAAAACTATTATTTTCTGCCTCGCTCATGAGAGTAACAGCTGCCGAAATTACAGCCTCGCCTACTGATTTTAATTTAACCATATATCGAGCCCGATTCTCGATTTCAAATGTGTGCTCTAAAATGATATTTATAAATGACTATTATCATTATTATAAGCAAGGCAATAAATGGCAAAGATATGTAGAAAATAAACGTAACGTGGGAGAAGATATGTTTCTAGAAGATATGTAGAAAATAAACGTATTTAAGATACGTTCATAACGAACGTAACGTGGGAGAAGATATGTTTCTAGAAGATATGTAGAAAATAAACGTATTTGAGATACGTTCATAACAAACGTAACGTGGGAGAAAATACGTTTCTAGCTAAACGTAATTGAGAATGCAGTTTAGTTCTGTGGGAACGTAATTTTTAGGAGACAGGGTTGGGTGATGACGATGATGATGGTGGTGGTGATGGTGGAAATAACAACAAAGTAAGTAACAAGTAAAAAATGTATCTATAAGCTCTCAAGGCGGGAGGCGGGAAAACATATAGATTGGATATTTTTGCTATTTGACATAAAACAACGTATACAGTATAGGGTTATTTGTGTCCATATTTCCCAGTTATTACCACTGTAAAAGTTAACCGTGTACATGTTGTCATGTCACTGTTTAATTTACAGATCCATGGAGAGAGAACCGAAGCTCCAGAGAAAACCGAAGCCCCAGAGACAGTAAGTAGATGCATATTCTTAAGGTATAGGTTACATGAAAATGTTATCTGGACAGTGGTTATGTTTTTGATGGGTAACTGCAAAACTGATGCATTACCGTGCGTGCCCATGTTAGATCAAGTTTAGGACAGTGATTTGTTACTTTAGTGCCTTTATCATTCTTGTGCAGTAGACAACTATTTACTACTGATCTATACAAACTATGTTAGTTTGTATAATGTTAATTAATAATCAATTGTGATATTCCATAAAATATATTTGTGAAAGTTGTAGGCCTACTAATACATTTATATGTGATGTATTTTTCAGATTGAAATTGTGAAGGGGTCAGGAGTGTTTTGCAAAAGAGATGCGTGGAAGGCATCCATCCATACCACCTCTGGCACAGCAATGGTGCGAACTCTCCTCCTCGGCACAAAGAATGGTTGAGAAATAAACAGACGTGCGATCACCGCTAAATGCACTTTAATACAGGGGTATCTTCTCTTGCACTTTAGGTAGCTCTTTTTTTGCAGCTCTTTTATCTCCTCCTGTACTTTATATGTCGTAGCTGTTACATTGTACTACCTTGTGGTAAATGCTTGTATGCTGCTCATGTAGAGTTATATTTGTATTTATTCATGTTAGCAAACTATGGATAAGCTTAAAATAGGAATACTTTGGGTAAAACTGTGAGCTGGATTTGGGGCCTGTTGACATGTGTTTTTGAGGACAAAGGAAGATGGGGGAAGGTGAGAGCATGTCTTGATTTGCATTCACCTTAGATCTTGCTACAGTGATTGGGGAAACCTAAGATTTGAGGTGTTAGTGATATTTGGGGCTGCCAATCAAGGAGGTCCGAATGGGAGGATCTGATAACTCCTCCCATTGTCAAAGAGTATGAACACAGACACACACGCGGTGTTCAGTCTCTTTCCTCTGGCTGGCTCACGTGCAGGTAAATTCGGGATCCCAAAGATTAACTGTATTGAATTTGTACTGTATTGATTGTATTGTATTGTCATATTACCATTAAAGTAGATTATTGTTTACTTGGTAGCTCTAGATTTCTTCCTGTATTAACCAGCTTGATAGGGACGCGCAGAGATTTGAAAAGCGGACCAGATATCCCTTTAAATCTCTAACAAAGTGGTGACCCCTGACGTGCCAGATATAACGAAGCTGAGGAAGAATCCAGACGACCGGAATGGGTCGGAAACAAACGCTTTCAAACATCTCAGACAATCAGCAGGGCCCTGCACAACTATACAAATGAGGTACGCAGACGCCTGTTATGAAAATCGACTGTCTGTAATTGGATACACTAAAACTTTAGGATTGTCTGTAGGCGTTTCACAGTGTTTTTGAAGTTTAAATGGAATATACAATGCATATTTTACTATGTTAGGAAAGTTATATACAAAACGTAAACGTTGATCGCCAGGTAGACGGAAAGTCCTGCGTAATGTAAATAGAGCAGTTTGGCGCGGATCTGCAGGTAGTTTATTCCTGAGTGGCGTGGAGACGGTGCAGTTTGTTTGGTTGCGAGGTTTGATTCCTGCACGACAAAACCTGGAAACTCGATATATCAGATCGGGTCGCCGTTTAAAACTGGGGTTAAATAACAGACCAAGGCTGAAAGCTAAAAGCCAGAGGTCTGTTATATGTTAAATCGAGGGAGAGAATGCGAACCTCACCAAAAATTGTGACGGGACCGTCTCTCGTTTTCCCTTTGTCTGTAAACTTAATTTGAAAAGCTAAACGTGTGATAAAGGGCTTTTCACGACCTGGGAGTTCCCTATGGAATGGTCACATTCTTTAAGAGTGTCGAAGCATCATTCGGGTCCACTAGCCTGTTGAAATAAACATCACATTATAAAAGCTGGACAAACTGTACGGGGAATAAATCTGTGTGATTTTTCAATTATCTCCGGGGCTCAAAAAGGCACTCAGGAGAGTGAAGCTCATTTGTGGTCTGCTGCTGCCATCTAGTGGCTGAAAGGGGGTAACACACCCTTGACATTTTTATATAGTTTAGCTTCAAACTTAGAGTTTCATCATTACATTGCGGGCCGGTATTGAAGACGGGAAGCACGTTAATAGTAACAACGACAATAGCCCAGTATATTAATACAAGTGAACACATATTAATTAAGTCAGATAGATAAAAGCGAAGTGAATATGGAACGACAGGATGGTAAAGACTATTCTGAAATTCCAGGGAGTTACCGGGAGCAATGGGAACAGATTAAGAGATTGATTTTAAGTGGAATCAAACAGGGGGCTAAAGAAAAGGCTTGTACTGATCTCCGATTCCTACACGATAAAATGATAACAGAGAATAGAGTGGGGGATGACGACACCGTAGGTAATTTGGGCACAGCATTGAATTTATATGAAAGACAGATTGTAAAGCAACTTGCACACCTAAACGAACAGAAGCCCAGATGGTTTGCCCGTAGCAAATGGAACAAACAAAAACAGGCACTAGATAGATTGAGGAGGGTTTGTCACAATGCTGCCCTCGCAATGATTGGAATTAATATTCCTCCCGTCACAGACGAAAATCTCCCGGGTGCAATGGCAATCCAAAGCCCCATAAAAACAGATGAAGTTAACACTCTTCTATTCCCTCATGGTATTAAAGACACGGAGGTGCCTACACATGGAGACATTCTTGACTATGTAGCAGAACGAGTCGAATATTTTAAAAGAATGCAAAATAATGTTGTCTCTAACTCAGAGCAGAAATCTCAAACGACGCCCATACAAAATCCGGCTATTCCCACCCGCTCCTCTCTCCTTTACCCGGATTTAGGTAGTCTGACTACACAGCCCCCTCCCCCTTATTCTCTACCCGACGAAAGCGCAAATAAATTGCAAATGATGGTGGCAGATACATCGGACACAGAAGGAGAGGAGGCGGCCATGAGCGTAGGGAACTATAGAATGGTGGGAACAGTAGCGTTGAGTCCGTTAAGGGGCGTCCCTACTCCAAAGAAAAGACTAAATGTTAAACAAAAACAAGTTTCCTCCCCGTTAGACAGAATAGACAGCGCACACACCACGCGGAGGCCTGGTTTTAACACAGACCAGGAGGGGGTTTCCCCGAGTAGGTACAGTCGACCACTTGATAAGGAGCTCACCTCAGAACAATTGACTTCCCTTCTGACAGATCTTACAAAGAGCCACTCAGGCGCTACACGGACAGACGTAACATACACAACTGACCTCCTAAATGAGAGGGAAATGCGAGAAAGGTGGTGCTATGAACAACAGATTCAAGATAGACGCAAGGAGGACGACAGGAGACAGGAACAGAGCGGATATGAAGGCTCGGTAGAAGATATAGAGGAAAATAGGGAGAGGAGAGGCCAGCACACAGGTGTACGCAGGCGCGCTGAGGAGGGGGAGAGATGTGATCCTTTTGAGAACAGATCACGCCAGACGTCTACGTCTGGCGTGATTGACGTCTAGGTGTTGACGTCTAGGTGTTGAGGGGGGGGGCATCGGGCCATGAAAGTGGGGAAGAGACAGCGAACCACAGAAGTGATAGAAAGACAGTGGGCCATAAAAGTGAGGGAGAGATAGCGGGCCATAAAAGGGATAGGGAAACAGCAAGCCATGAAACTGGGGGGTTTTACAATGAAGCAGGAGGCCAGGGTCGTAAAGACAGCTATCAGGACACTTTTCAGCAGGAACAAGCAGGACAGGAAGAGGAAGACAGCAGGAGGGCGAGGTGCAAAGTTAAGCAGATATCTCTGACAGGAACAATCAGTGAACTAGTGGAGGTAGATCAGGTTCTTTCAATGCCCCGTAATCAATCAATCAATGTTTATTTATATAGCCCAATATCACAAATGTTACATTTGTCTCAGTGGACTTTACAGTTTGTACAAAATATCAGTATGACAATACGACACCCTCTGTCCTTAGACCCTCACATCGTACAAGGAAAAACTTCCGGAGAAAACCCACAGTTTAAAGGGAAAAATGGGAGAAACCTCAGGGAGAGCAACAGAGGAGGGATCCCTCTCCCAGGACGGACAGACGTGCAATAGATGCCGTGTGTAAATTGAAAAGATAATACATTTGCAACATAGGTAGTCCAAATGTTTGGAAATGCATGTGTGTATAATAGGAAGATGAATCCACGAGGATATCCATCCAGGACCTATGATCCAGGACCACAGCCACGACTCAAGATCCAGGGCTCGCGATCCAGGACAGAGGAGCGCAGGATCATCCATGACTCCGGATCCCGGCGTATATAGACACCAAAAAGAAAGACATTTCTTAACAGATTAAGGTCTCACCACACCGCAGAAGACCCCACCGAGCATGCTTTTATTTTTTCAGTATTACAGGCGCCTTTAGTGGCCGCGCAAAACGGGAAAACGGCTTATCATCCTTTCACACTAGGGGACATACATGCGCTGATCGATAACATGCCGTTGCCTACTGAGGGAGGGAGACATTGGATGCGAAGGTTTGCGGACATGGCTGTAGGACAGACTATCTGTCTGGGAGATTTCAGGAGAATACTAGCACAACAGACTTCCTATTATGAGGTAGAAAGAGTTGAGGATAGATCAGGAACATCGACAATGAAAGATGACGTGCCTATTTCCTTTAACAATGTTCACAGCAAGCTGGGCAAAGCAATGAGAGAACATTTCCCACAGACAGGGGGAGGTTACGGTTCACTGTCATTTACATTTACACCTGGAGAGGCTGTAGCAACCATGTTGCTCAGGGCACGCCAACAATACACAATGGCAACTGACTACAGTCCAGATAATAATGACCAACATATACAGATGTTCCGTAAGGCAGTGCTTGCAGCGGTGCCGAAAGAAATTAAAAGTCTGATGGAGGACAATCCAGAAGTAGATCAGTTAAACACACAGACGTGGGAACGTCATTTAGCCCATCATTTGAGTAGATTTAACAAACAACATACAGAGGTTAAAACTGAGGAAGAGGAGTTGAGGGTGCAGTTACTGCGAATGCAGCTGGAAATAGCCCGGAAAACAGTTCAGAATGACAAAAAGAATGCCAAACAGTTGATTGTTCACCCAGTAGCGCCGGCCGTGCAGCCACAGGGGCAGCAAAACCCAAAAGGGGGCCTGTCCAACCAGGGTCCGCCCTATAGTCAGCCCCAATTTGGCTACGATAATAGCTCTTGGCAACAGAGGGGCGGGTTCAGAGGCGGGGTCAGAGGTCGAGGTGGCTTTGGAATGACTCCTGGATTGGAATACGTGAAGGTGTGTTTCATTTGCGGACAGCCAGATCACTGGTTCAAGCAGTGCCCACATAAAGCCCCACCAGGAAGGGGGCGGGCTAAAGGGGGACAGAGAGGATACGGAGGGGGGAACGGATCGGAGAGACCATATATCCAGACACCCCAGGAGGCTGTCCCATTGCCGCAACAACCGAACCAGGGTCACATTGCCCCTAATGCTATGGCCGCCCCATATGGCCAGTTTGTCCTGTATGATGGGGAGTACTACGAAGAATGACGCCCAGGGAACTCTGGATGTACGGGCCTGGCGGATCCATACATTAATATGACTGTTAAAGACTCAAACCTACCATTCCTTGTTGATTCAGGAGCAAGATATTCCACCATCAATTCTCCCGTCTTCAAGGCGTCCCTTTCATCTACAACAGTCTCAGTCATAGGGTTTTCGGGAAAAATAGAAAAAATACCGCTTTCCACGCTGTTATCCACCAAGATAGCAGGACAGACATTCTTACACCAGTATATTCTTGCACCTAAAAGCCCGGCTAACCTCATGGGTAGGGATATTCTGATCAAAGCGAATGCCTCCATCCTCTGTTCCCCAGATGGACTGATAATATCATTCCCAAATGGCACAACCATCAATTGTTCATTATCTACCATAAAATCAGGTTCTCAGATGATGTTGGCCCAGTCCACTGAGGCAGAAGCAACCCAA